GCTTGGATGCCTCCGTTTCCTCAACACATCCCATATGTCTCTTTCCGTGCATTTCTCTGTGTGTATGTGTAGGTGGAGAAGGTGATAGAGATCATTGAGGACCTCCAGGCCAACAAACAAGTGCCGCAGTACCTAAAGGTCCCTCACCCACCACCCCACACTCTCACCCGCCCACACGAACAAGGAAGCCATGTCTTCCCCGCGTGTGTGTGTGTGGATACACAGGACGAGTTGAACTGGGTGATAGAGGTAATCCTGTCCAACAAGCTGTACGACATGGCCATCGACGACGACACCGTCAAGGGCCAGGGCGAGGTGGACGCCTGGCTGTCGTCCACCAACCAGACATCCGTCCTGGCCGCCCTCCCCGAGCACACCGGTGTGGACATGATGTCCACCAACATGACCGTCACCAACATGTCCATGAGCCAGCTCGACATCGACGGCGGCGGGAGGACACGAGCGGCCAGCCAGGACGGCTCGACGCAGTCTTTCATTGGGGGGATGGGCGGGAGGGAGCGGAAGAGGTCCCAGAGGGCGAAGCGCAGCAGACGCCCGTCAGAAAGCAGAAGGTGCCTCTCTCTCTCTCTCTCTCGCACACACACACACACACACACGCATGGACACAGAGAGAGAGAGAGAGAGGCACACACAGAGGGGGGGCGAGGGAGGCCTGATCTGTGTGTGTGTGTGTGTCTCTACACTGTTTGTGTGTGTGCAGGCAGACGGGTGCTGATTTGGACCGTGACGCGTCCAAGTTGATACTGCAGCTGTATTCCTTGGCCAAGATATCGGGTCAGGAGGAGAGCCAGATCGAGGACGTCATGCGCACGCTCGACGAGTGGTCCTTCGACGTCATCCTCGCGGCGGAGATATGCGACATCCACTTCCTCCCAATACTCTTCGTCCGCATACTCTCCCGGTACACATGTTCGTGAGATGAGCCAACTGACGGACATGACATGAATGTGTGTGTGATTGTGCGTCAGTTACGACACCATCCGCCGGTTTCAGTTTGACTTTGACATTCTCTTCGCGTTCCTCAAAAAAGTGCAGGTATCAGCACCCGTCCGTCCCACAAAGTGGCCCTGTCTGTTGGTCGCTCTCTTCTCTGGTTGCATGGCGGATGGATGAATGGATGGGTGGGTGGATTCAGGAGTCGTTTCACCCCGAGGTCCGGTTCCACAACGCGGCTCACGTGGGGGACGTGCTGCAGACCACACACTACTTCTACAAAAAGGCATATAGGCACACACACACGAAGATACACAGACACAGAGACAGAGACATGAGCGATAATGGCCTCGGTGGTGTACATGCACACATGCAGGGCCCTTTGCTGCGTTACTTGGGTGACTTTGATGTGTTTGCTGGCTTCTTCGCTGCTCTCGTGTGCCACTATGGACACCCGTAAGCCACGCATTGAGATAACTGGCTGGATGCATGGATGGGCACAACAGCCCGCTGTTTCTGTTTCCTTCCTTGGTTGCTTTCACTGCAGCGGTGTGACGAATCAGTTCTTGATCAAGTCGCGGCACCCCAGGGCAATCAGATACAACGGTCGGTGCATGCACAGACACACTCACGCTACTAGGTCCGTTACCGTGCATCCGTGTGCTCATGTCTCCATCAGATTCTTCGGTGCTTGAGAACTACACTTTGTCGGTGGTCTTCGGTCTGCTCCAAGACCCCGCACTCAACTTCCTCGGCGAACTAAAGGTAAGCAAACAACGATAGACACACACACACACACACATACACACCATTTGTCTGTGGACGCATGGATTTGTGTGTCTCCCTCAGCCGTGGTATCACATATTGCGTGCGTTGCTGGTGGACATGATCCTGCGGATGGACATCCGCTTTCTCACCAACGAGCTGGGCATGTTCAGAACCAAAGTCTCGGGCGAATTCTCTACCGACAGACCCGAAGACAGACAAGTGACCGCACACACACAGACAGACTCTCCCCTTTGTGTGGTGTGTGCATGTGGATCGATCGATGGATGGATGTGTGCAGGTGTTGCTGAGCATGACGCTTCGCTGTGCGGATCTGGCCTTCGCTGCGCGTCCACAGCCGATTTACCTGCGGTGGATGGACCGCATGATGGAGGAATTCTTCTACCAAGGAGACCTCGAGAAACAACTCGGCCTTCCCGTCTCGCCATTCTGGTACGCAACGCAGCCGATCTGCATGCTCTCTCTCTCTCTCTCTCTGTGTGTGTGTGTGTGTGTGCGTGTGTGTGCGTGTGTGCGTGCAGCGATCGTGATTTGACGAATCAGTACAAGTGTCAGATCGGGTTCATCGACGTGCTGGTGCAGCCTTTGCTGTCAGCCTACATCATCGTGCTGCTGCCCAACCTGCAGAAGGACCTGCTGGAGGAGGGGCTGGAGAATAACAAGAAACACCTACAGACCAAAATGGACAGTGCCTACAACTGACTCAACCAACTGACATGGCCTGGCGGGCTGGGGGACGGACGGGTGTGGGTGTGTATGTGTGTAAGTGAGAGACGGCGGGAGGGGGGAGAGGGTGGTTGCTGCATGGATTTTCTTGTCGGGCTCTCTGTCTGTCTCTGTCTGGTGTGCATGTCTGTGTGTGGGCCTTCTGCTGCTGCTGCGTGTGGTGTTGTGTTTATAGAGTGTGTGTATGCGTGTGACCAATAATAATACCAATTTATCTCAACCAGTCAGTCAGTGGCACACTGTAACTTAAAACAAATGCACCACAGACAGCAGACAGTCACATCACACACACACAGAGAGACGCACACAGACAGAGGCACATGAAGACGCAAGTCGTTCATTGGAGGGATAAATACATACGCCATGAACACATAGGTAGGCAGGCAGGCAGGCGAAGATGGACATTATGCGGACAGGGAGTGGAAAGCGACTATACACACTCATCCACCGCACCGATATATAGGGAGGATTAGCCGGCATGCACCACGATGGATGGCTGTGCGTGGCTGTGTACCTAAGTTGTCTGTCGACAACGTCGGATGGTGTGTGTGCTGCAATGCACTGCAGGTGCTGCATAGTAAAGAAGGACACGACAGACAGAAAGACAGAGAGCGCACAATTAGATAAGACACACCAGGCACACGGACAAACAGATATGCACACCTACGCACGGTACACGCGCACACGTATGCAGTCCATAGACCTACTCATAGGCAGGCAGGCACGCGCCATCCATCCATCTAGCTACCTACAAGCTGTCACTCACCCACCATCTACCGATCAATAAGCTCACTGCACTGCTGGGCATCAAACACACAACCTGGTCAAGCCATCAACGCCATCCATGCAATCCATGCCATGCAATCCATGAGTTCTCCATCATCACGTAATAAGGGGATAAATAGCATCAAGGACACCCACACACACACACACACACAGGCATGCACACGGACACACAGTCGCACACCCCAACACACACCCCTGCACTCTTTACAACCAGCTCGCCGCCATCCGCCCGGCAAAGCCCAACCGCCACCTAGCATCACACACACGCACGCCCACACGCACATGTGCCGCCCCTCTATATCAGTGCCCGCCATTACAGTAGCTGATTCGTTGGTTGATGCACGTACGCACGGTGCTGTTCTGTGCGCGTGCATGTGTTGATCGCTCGAAATGGCTGCTGACGAAAGAAAGAACAAACACATGACTGACAGTATCGATGGATGGCGGGACGAAAACAAGGAGACACAAGGGACGGGCGGCATATGTGGGCCGGGCAAGTACAGACACAGCACTGGGCCAAAGATGGAGGAACATGCGCATGTTCCCCCTCCCCCTCCCCCCTCTGAGTATCTACATGGGTATACCATATGCACAAGCCAGCCGACCCTATCGACACCAACGACACTCGGGCACTCATCCACGCCATCCATCCATGGATCACCCCTCCATCTCTCCATTCGCGCACACACGACAACCACTGATGGATGGGGGGTGGGGGGGTGGGTGAATGGGTGAATGGGTCATTGAGCTGGTCGGTCAGTCGGTCAGTCGACATCAAAGGACACCTTCTCGACGCATATCCTGTTGCCCTCCTTGTCCAAAACTTCCGCCACCACCTGGAACTCCCCCTCATCCAACTCACACACGCCCATCCCGCCGTCCCTCGAGCGACCGCACGCACTCGCAAGCCCCCCACCGATGTCGGCCCGCTTGTCGGTGTGCTCGTCAACCACGTCGTGCCAGGTGTTGCGGTCGAGAATTCTGGTGCTGACGGCCGAGTAGCTGCTGAGCGCCGGCAGGACGGCGAGCGAGACGCCACCTGGGAAGAGCGTCTGCTTGAGGTGGAAGTTCTCCCTGAGTGGCTTGACGTCCTGCAGCTGGACGGTGTGCTTGTTGTCGGCTGCGAGCTGCTGGGCCTTCCGGAGGGATCGGAGCGCGTTGACCTGGCCCTTGGTGGTGCACTGGCCCTTGAGTGAGTCCATCTTGTCGACCGTCGACAGCAGGATGTCCTTGATCTGCCAGAAGTTCAAATCAGGGTTGGTCGCCCATATCAAGGCCGCCAAACCTGCACCCAAACCACACACACGCACACACACAGAGGTGTGCTCATGTCTGTGTCTATGGGTGTCCCTCTGAGCGACCCCCGAACTCACCTGATACGAATGGTGCAGCCATGGATGTGCCCGAGAGTACACCATATTTGCCTCCCGCAACGGTCGAGTAGATGTTGCTGCCTGGGGCGGCGGCATCGACCGTCGTGGGGCCGTAGTTGGCGAAAGGCGATATCTGCCCCTCCTGGTCGGTGGCCGTGATGGCGACGATGTTGTCCCACTCGAACGAGGAGGGGTAGTTCTTGGGCGTCTCGTCGTTGTTGAGTCGGGAGTTGCCCGACGCTGCGATGAAGACGGAGTTGGCCTCGAGGGCGCGTTTGATGGCGACCTCTAGAGGCTTGTAGCCGCTGCTGTCCACCACGCCCCAGCTGTTGGACGTCAACGTGGCCCCGTTGGTGATGGCGTAGTCGATCGCCTGGATGGCGTCTATCACACTACCCTGCAGTGCATTGCAGCCACATGCGCACACACAGATGGATGGAGATCGATGGCTGTGGTTGTGTGAGTGGTGCCCGCAGGGCTGACCGATCCGTCGCCGCACAGGAACTTGAGGGCCATGATCTTGGGTTTGAGGATCCACGCGACGCCGACGATTCCTTGCTTGTTGTCCCCATTGGCGGCGATGGTGCCGCTGCAGTGGGTGCCGTGGCCGTCGTCATCTATGGGGTCTGGGTCCTTGTTGCACCAGTCGTACCCGTGAATGTCGTCCACATAACCGTTGCCTGCGTGCAATACACACCGGACAGGACAGACACCACAAATGAAACCAATGGATGGATGGATGGATGTCACAATGTGGCTGGGGCTGCCTGACTACAGAAGGAGAGAGCAGAGCATACCATCGTCGTCGATTCCGTTGTTGGGAATTTCGTCCTCATTGGTCCAGATGGCGCCCTTGAGGTCGGGGTGCGTGTAGTCGACGCCCGTGTCGATGACGGCGATCACGGGGCTGGGGGGCTTCTTGCGCCGCTCCACCATGTCGTTGTCGAACGACGCCCAGGCCTCAGGCAGGTTGATGTCGTTGCCGGGGTCGTTGTCCATCCCCCACTGCTCCACAAACTGCGGGTCGTTGGGCACCCACCGCTTCTCGGTCTTCTCGGCCATGGGCGGACGCCGGCCCGACCGCGTCGGCGGGGGCGACTCGAACACCTGCCGTGTCCCGGGCACCTCCAGCTTGCGCGCGATGACGTCAGGCTCGCAAAATTCGACCTCTGGGTCCACGCGGGCCTTCTCGCACGCGCCAAGGGCGTCCATGTCGTGCGGGAGGTCGACCACGTCCATCCACAGGCTGTTCAGGTGCGTCACGGCGGCCACCAGCGACCGGCGCTCGGTCGCATTGACATTGCTGCCGCTGTCCGTCTGGAACTCGAGCACCTTGGAAATGGCTGCCGCGCGGACGACGCCCTCCTGCGGCTGCTTGAGCTTGACGATCACCCTGTTGGCACTGCTGTTGGGGCTGTCGGCCTCTGTGGGCCGCTGTGTGCCGACGCCCATGGCCTTGACCTGGCCGGGAGTGACGACGGTGTCGAGGTCGAAGGCGCTGTAGGTGACACCTTTCGCCTTGGCGAGTGGGGCGCTGTCGGGTGAGGATGAGAAGCCGTCTGTGGCCATGAGGTCCTCCTCGCTCATGGTCGTGACGGCGGGCTCGCCGTCGTACTCCACCATGCTCATCGGCATCGAGTTGCCTGCGTCGTACGCATACACCGTCGCACACTTGTCTGCGGCATGACAGGAAAGGACAGGACACCATCCACACACACAGACTGAGAGATGCACGTGGATTCCTGCCTGCCTACCCCTGCCCCTCTTTTGTTTGGTTCTGTGTGCCATGTCATACCCATCTTGATGAAGCATGCTGTTCGCGAGTCGTGGTCCTTGATGTCCAGGCTCGGCCCGTGTGTCTTCTTGACGGCTTCACCGAACAGCTCACAGTTGCTGCCGTGACGCGCCTGCGCCACCACCAGCTCGTCGCTGCTGCTGCCGTAGAGCATGTCTTCCATGCCGTCATCGTAGCCGTAGTAGCTGTAGCCGTCCGCCCCGTCCATGTCGTACACGGAATCAGGGTAGTACTCGTCATCACCATAGCTCGATTCCGGCGCCTCTGTGGCCGCTGCGATGCCGCTGTCGCTCTCAGTGTCGTTGCCGGCGGCGTCCTGCTGCTCCTCGTCTATTGTCTCATCCTCAATGCGATCAGCGGGGCCATCCTCATTTTCATCCTGGTCCAGGTGAGGGACGGTGTCGACGATCTCGAAGAGCGTCTCCCCTTCACCGTGGGCGGCCATCTGCCCCTTGCCGTGGCGCTTCCTCGCGTCCTTTTTGCCACCGCCGTTGCGGTTGCCCTGGCCCCCGTGTGCGCCGTGTGCGTGTCCGCCGCGTTTCCTCCGCTGCTGCATGCTGTAGGCGAATGCGCGGCAGTTGTGGTCGTCTCGGCAGGTGGATGCGCACTCGTACACAGACGGGCGGGTGATGGCCGCATACAGGTCGCCCTTGTGCTGGGGGGAGCCGCACTGACCCTGCCCAAGCAGATGGAAATCTTTCACCTCAGGCCGACGGTCGGCTGACAGACAATACGCACAGATAGACAGAGAGAACAATCCGTGTGTGTGTTGTGTGTGTTGTGTGGCTGAGCATCGAGCGTACCATTGCGATAGCACCAAGCGTGTTTCTTGTCGGGCATTGGGGCAGCGAACAGGATTGGGCTGTGGACCATGATGCAGTTCTGGTCCCGGTCGAAGACGTACTCTATGCCGTGGCAGCCTGCCTCTTTGACGCACCGCTTCAGACACGAGCCCAGGTCTGCGGAGCTCACGTGCGTAGGAGAACCCGCATCGGCATCAGACGTGCGACACGAGCCCGCACCCACCAGCTCGCCACCTACATACCACCCACAATCAGTGGATAGATAGGTCGATGGATGCCCAGCCCACATACATGTACAGTGTGTGGCCATCGTCAACGTTCCTTACCAGGGAGGAATGGCAGGGATGAGGGGCTGTCCTTATCCACATCAGATGACGCCAGTGCCTCCACCCTGCCCTCATTGTCGCCCCGCAGCCGCCTCTCCCCCGCCAATACCTGCCCCTCCCCACCCGTCCTCATCAGCAGCAGCAGGAAGGCAATCGACATGAAAACCTGCCGCCGCCTCGCGTGGCCGTGGGGCAGCACAGGGCCGGGCTGGGGAGGTGGAGGGGGCGGGGCTGCTGCTGCTGGTGTGTGACGGGGGTGAGGGGGGGCGGGTGCCTGCGCCATCCGTCGATCGGGAGATGACGCCGATGATGTGGAAGAGGGGCTTGGGGCGGCTGGGGCACCGGTGGATTCGGTGGCTGGGGGTGGGGCGTGCAGTGGCCGTCGCCGGGAAGGGGTCAGCATCGGGAGGGACAGCAGCCAGGAGAGACAAGTCAAGTCAGTGAGGTCAGTCAGTCAGTCACTCAATGAGTGAGTCGAGTAGCAGGAAAAGAGTTAGAAAACCAAGCTGGTGTGTGCCGTGCGCCTCTGCTCTCAAACAGTTGGCGCAAAAACACCACCAACCGTCTGTGTGTGTGTGTGTGCAGCAGGGCAACAGCCAGACAGGCGCTCAGGCGCTCAGGCACTCAGGCAATCAATCGGTCGTTTAAATAGCACCACAGCAGACGATAGATAGGACGAGATGAATTACCAAGCTAGGCAGACAGCCAGCCAGCCGCCCGCTGTCAGGGCGACACCACACACATATTGACCACTACCACGCAGAAAGAGTAAAGAGGGACAATCAATGTAACGCCCGCCCCACTGCTATGCTATCCAGAGAGATGCGATACACACACACACACGGACGGACGGACGGACAGAGGGCACTCAAATCGCAATACTAGTACTGAGCGCCCCCACACAACAGCACGCCCTGCCCTGCCTACACAACCAAATACTACTCCCACAACCACGATGCGAGATGCGATTACGCAGCTACCGAATGTCGCAAGATAGCGTGGTAGATAGACGGTAGGAGCCTAGTACCTTCCCAACGACAGACAGACAGACAGCCTGGCCGAACCAACCAAATCGCCCAACACGCACCCTCCCCTCCTGACGTCCACCTCTGTGCTTCTGTCAGCCCCAGCAGCCGGCAGCCACAGCCTCAAAACCGTCGACGAAAGTATAGAAGAGGCTAATTGAGCGGGGGAGAGGGATAGAGGGAGGGAGGGAGGGAGGGAGGGAAGCCGGGCCGCTCGCCAAACTTCGGAGCAGACAGACGGGGAGACCCGAATTAGAGAGCGCCGCCACCACCGCCTTGCACACACGCAAAGCCGCCCTTAATTATCAAGAAAAGCCACAGCCGCATCGCGATTCAACGGCAAAACGGTTGGAAGCTCGCATTTTTGCCGACCAAGCGGAAACGACCATCACCAGGTGTCCGAAAGACAGAAACGACATCCTATCTTCTCGCCTGTCCACAGCCTGACAACTCACGATCCATCACTGCCCTGGCCGGCATTCAGCCTGTCCTGGCCGGTTGGGAGACCGTGCCATGTTGAACTTTGTGCACCAGACGCCCTCCCCACCGCCACTGATCCACCAGTTCCGGCCGCGGGACGAGCCGCAGCACTGGATCGGCGGTACGCGAGAGCCGCATGACGGCGTCTGTCTCTGTGTGCCTGACATGTTGTGTGTGTATGTGCAGGTCCGTGGCGGCACACGGCCTACAACCGGGGTATCTTCAACAAGTGGGATCAGCTGAGCTGCCGAACGACACCGACCCGCCAGCCACCAACTACACCACACTCTTCTCAGCTCGATAGGCACACAGACACGCGGAGGGGCATCCTAACTGTGTCAGTGCATCTGTGTGTATATGTGTGTGTGTGGGTGTCTATAGCTGGTCGATGTTGAACATGTTAACGTCATGACATGTCCCATGATGGCGTTGGGTTGGACCACAGACACGAGAAGCCACAGTGTCACTCATTCGCTCACCAATTGAAAACCATATGCTCATCAATCAAAGGCAAGCCAGTCAGTCAGTCTGTAGATGCATCTGTCTCCCGACCTCAACGCCCCCATCCACCACACCGTCTGATTGCCTGACCGCTTCACCCCAGCACTGTCCTGGCCAGCCCGTACTTGACCAGCACTGGTCTGGCAGCCGACACGGCAATGGGATAGCGTTCGATGTCTGTGCTGCCATCACTCGGCGCCTCGGTCGTCCGGAGGCTGATGCGGCCATAGACCAGCCGCAGATAGGCTGTAATGGTGTCGTTGGCTGCTGTGCCCTTGACGATGATGAGTCGCTCGCGGCCGTCATATCCCTGGCCTGGCTGCCGAACCATATAGTCGATGATCTTGTAGCCCTCGATGGTCGGTGCCGCCAGCAGAGACCGATAGCGAGTGTCACCAGGACCGACATGAGCATGAGTCACCCGCTTCTCCCCCACCCCCTCTTGCTCACACCACTGCATCAGGACCATCCACTTGAGGAAGGCCGTGAATGATGGGTAGAGGCACTCCCCACAGCGGATGACGGGATCGCTCTCGTTGTATCCGCTGCAGTAGCGGTGGTTGGGGGGCAAATCAGCGAGGGGGACGGTCGTGAAGTACTCCTCACCGATCTTGTAGCGCTGCCTCGCCACGCCCCCACCATGACCATCACCATGGTGTCCATTGCCTGGCTGCCCTCCTGGACCATCGCCCCCTGGTCACTCTCCGCCACTGGCGTCACCGCCCCCACTCTCCTGCTGGTGGTCGATGTCGTCATCGCCGTCCTCCTCATCTCCCCCCTCGTCCATGCCATCGTCGTTCTCATCATCACTGGCCTGGTCACTCTCACTTTGGTCGTCATCATCCTCCACCCGCTCCAGCGCCAGGCTGGTCCCCCGGTGGCTCAGCAAGTGGCCGAATGTCTTGTAGACGGCCAGGGCGAGTGGCAGCTCCTTGAATGCTGCAGCAGTGGGCAGCGAATTAGCCGACAGCCGCAGGGGCAGTGCCTCGATGAGCTTGTGATTGCGCGCCAGGTGGATGAAGTCGGCCATCTCTTGCCACAGCTCTCCGCCTTGCTCAAGCACATAGGCGCATTTGCTGTAGTCGACCGATGCACGTCGACGAGGCCGGTCAAATGGTTGCTGTCGAGCGAGCCGTTGATGCGCTTGAGCATGAAGGCCTCGTTGATGAGCTGTTTGCCGTGGTGGGTGTTGGCTCCCCTCGCCGATCTGATGGCCACGTCGACAGGGAGGTAGCCCACCACGCCATCGCAATAAACGTCGGCCGGGAGCCGATTGGCCGTCACGTCAACTGGATTGTCACCATCAGCAGCAGTGGCTGTGGGGGTGGTGGTGGTGGTGGTGGTGGGGTGAGGGGGGCCAGGTTGCTGTGTGATGTCTGGTTGACAGGGGGGAGGGGGCGGGGCGGCCGAGATGTGGTGGGCGATGGTCTGAACGGCACCGGACATGGCCGAGAGGGTGGGTATGGTCGACTTGACAGATGACCACTCCTGGCAAATGATGGGCGCCTGAATTCCCATGACAACAGACGACATGTGGTAAAGGGAGATATGTCAAACCCCCCCCTTCTCTCTCTCACCTGGTCAGTGTGGGCGGCAATGGATGTCATTACCAGAGGCTCGACGGCCGACACCTCACTGGCCACCTGACAAAGGGAACACACAGACAGACATACGCCATCGCGACGTGCATCCCTTAGTGGGTCGATATCTGTGTGTCCTTCACCTGCTCCATGAGTGAGTGTATGGCCGCCAGCCGACCACACACACCGCCCGACCCGCCACACACTGGGGACGCCTGCACAGACAGAGACCAAAGGCACCTCAGTGAGACTGAGTTATCCACCCAGTGATGTGCTGTGCCTCACTCACCGATGCCGATGGACTGTGCCCCTCCTCCTGCTGCTGTTGCTGCTGCTGCTGGTGGTGGTGAGCGGCCGCATCACTCATGACACTCAGCCCTGTGCCGACGCACACAAATGGATGCAGACACATGAGGTGCACAACACTGATTTCTTTGTCCGTCTGTCAGCCGTGTGCTTGTGACATCTCACCTGAAGCATCAATCACATGGCCGTCGACACACTGGCGCTCCGCGTCACCTCGAGATCCACCACAATTAGCAGAAGAAGACATCTCTGCTGCACTCACTGAACACATGAATGAACAGCAGGACGGTGGCGCTGCGCCTTTCGTGCACGCCAGACTCACCTCCTGACACAGAGTCAACAAAGATGGCCACTCAGACACAACAGATCTGCAAGAAGCACACGGCTATTGGCACACGGCACGCCCCCATCACAGCACAGCCTCGGCCTCTGTTTGGCATGGGCGCATCGATACTCACCTATTCCTCCTGCTGTTCGCTTCACCGAACTGCCACAATTTCAGTGAGATACCTCCGCCGCCGCCAATCAGGCCGACGCAGATCTTTCCTTTTTCATGGCCAATCCAAAAGCGTTCCGCAGCTCCCAACAAAGTGCCGCATTTCCAGGCGCGGCCCGCGTGCGAGCTAGTTTCGTGAAACGTTTTATTGGGGGCGTCTCATCCCGGATGGGATTTCTCTTCCTCATCGTCTCCGTCACACTTCTCTGTCGTTCACCAGCAGTCCGGTCGCATCAGCAGCAGATTCTGGACGGTCAGGGTCCCTCAGCTGAGTGACTTTGCTTTCGTCGAATCGTCTCCGCCGCTCCCACTGCAGCCATTGCCAATTGCTTGTTGCTTCGTTGATTTGTCACAAGGGGAAGAGCTCTATCGCCAGTCATTCTTAGGAAGAATGGTGGTACAGACACGCGCACAGAAGGTGAGCATAAGGAGAGTCAGCCACACGCCGTTGGGGGCCGTGTGGCGTCTCACCGGTTCTTGAGCATGAAGCGCACGTCAACCTGAAGGCGCATGGCCTCATTGTGATGTCCTTGCCGTCTGTCCGTCTGTGTGATTAGGCTGCCGAGAAGTCTGAGAGCGAGGCCGCGGGAGCTCATCACTTGGCGTCCGGCCGTCCAGCTGACCAGGTCCGGCTGCCCTTGGCCAATCCCGACGGACATGAGCGTGTCGCTAAGCCCGCCAAGGAGCGCAAGAAGCGGACCGCACCGGCCCCCGACCAGAAGAACCCCACCAGTCGGCCCGCCCAGCGCTGTGGGCCGGTGAAGAGGGAAAGGAGGGAGGAGATCATCGACAAAGGAGATGCCCTCATGGAGCCCTACGATGACCAGGAGGACACCGAGCCCCTGCAGAGGAAAAGAGACAGGCTGTTCGCCGCTCGCAAACAGCGGGCGGACAGGCGTGACGTCGGTGTGGGCATCGGCGGGGCGATGGGTGAGGGATTGGGATTGGGATTGGTCAAGGGGGAGCGGGGCAAAGCGGGGCGGGCCGAGAAGCGTTTCAGTCTGGGGAAGGGCTACGAGGCCAAAGACGGTCAGACCCGGCGCAGCAGGTGAGCGAGAGAGGGCGAAGGGCTCGAACTTGAAGGACATGCCACTCACAGCCATCGGTCTCTTGTCCATTCGTGTCTATGCAGGCAGCAGAAGCAGGCGCCTTTGGCCGCTGCAGCGGCCGCAGCGGCCTTGAAGCCCTCAGCGACAGATCAGCACAAGATGGCCACCGATGGTGCGGGTGGAGGGAAGCAAGACGTGTCTATGGGCGGGATGGGGGCGGGGCACTACGGGCAGCTGCGGAGCACCAAGTAAGACACACTGACAACACACTGACAACGTTGTCCCTTTTTGCATCTCTGTCTGTGTGTTGCACTCAGGGAGGAGAAGGGGTCACCTTATCGCTACGCGGCCGCTGCGGCCGCTGGGAAGCTTCCGGGGGCCGACAGCCGCCCACGCAGGTGGGCATTCGACGGCGACTCGATGTCTTTGGCCAAACAGGAGGAAAAGTACAACAAGTTAGAGGAGACACAGCACTCAATGGACCAATGCCCACTGGTTCCTGTCCTTGTGTCCTGCCATGTTGTGTGGGTTTGTGCAGGCAGAAAGAGGGCTCGCCTGTTGCTGCAGCAGCGGCAGCGGCCATCAACAGGGAGGGGTCGCACACACCGCACACGCCGTTCGAGTGTCAGCAGAGGGCCAAGTGAGTGGATGAGTTGGGAGAAGGGCAGTCAGTGCTTGGCGCTGCTTGCCTGTCTGATTGATGTCTCGTCGCTTATCTGTTCATCTTCAGTGTCCGTCGTGGTGACGGCGATGTGCCTCGTCTGCCGCATGTGCCAATGAGGCCGGCGGAGCACCCCCCACTGAGAGGGTGGCCGCGCATCAGCCCCGACACTGTCAGTACTGCAGAAAGGCGTGCAAACAAACAGCACGAGTCCATCTCTGTCTGCCTCCATCTCTGTGTGTGTGTCAGCTGGCGAGGTTCCTGCAGGGTGAGTTCGACCACAGGGGCTTCTCCGGCTACACCATCCTCGACGCTCGCTGGGAGGCCGAGTACGACGGTAAAGACAGAAGAAGCAACGAGGCCGTGTGGCGCCATCCGACGGACAGCCCTTGTCGGTGTTTGTGTGTCGGCAGGCGGGCACATCTGCAAGGCCATCCACGCCAGGACCAATGCCGAGGCCATCGACGCGCTGTGGGATGAAAATGGACAGCCGCGGCACGACAAAAACCACGTAAGAGAGACCGCCACACAGACAGACAGACAGACAGACTTGTGTGAATGCATCGCCGCATCTCTGTGTCTATACGTGTGTGTGTTTGTGTGCCAGGTGGTCATTGTCCATTGTGAGTACTCACAGGAGCGGGGCCCCAATCTGATGAAAGCCATAACCGACTACCGCGACAGCCATGGCAGCTCAGTAAGTTAGAAGACCACACCCTCACAGACTGAGCCCCAAGCAGCATGATGCTCTCTTTGTCTGTCTGTCTGTCTGTCTGTCTGCAGGAGGACTATCCGATGGTGTACGTGTTAGATGGCGGCTACAAGGCCTTCTGGCGGCACGCACAGGCCGTCAAGTGCGCACACCGACTTTGTGACGGGCAGTACAAGCCGGAGGACGCCCTCACGCACCAAGAGGTACACACGCACACACGAGGGATCGAAGAAAGAGATGCCTCTTTTGAGACACTCCATCTCTGTTTGTTTGTCTATCAGCTGAAGGCGGCTCACCAGGAGCGGATCAATCGCGACCCCGCCAAGCAGCGAGAGCTCGACAAGAGGACACGTCTGCGTCGCAGTGCCGTACCCGACGGGCCTCACCCGCCCGCAGCGGCTGCTGCTGCTGCTCCTGCGCCATATGTGCCCCCTGCGCCATTCCTGCCTCTCGAGATGCCTTCGCCAGTCAACTTCCCACCCCTTATGGCCCCGCCACTCATTCCGGCCGATCGAGCGTCGCCGCCCTTCGGCAACACGGGCCGTGCTGCTGGTGGTGGCGGAGACGGATGGGTGTCGCCGCCTCGCCAGACGGCATATGGAGTGGGGGACAAAGACATGCGCGGCAAGAAGGAAGACCCCCCCACTGCAGCAGACAGACACCCCTCTAATGCAACTATTCCCATTTTTTCTCTTATCTCCATTTGTGTGTCGCACTCACAGGGAGGAGAAGAGGCCACCTTTTCCCTGTGCGGCCGCTGCGGCGGCCCAGCCGGTGGACAGCCCCCCACGCAGGTGGCTATTCGACGGCGAGTCAATGCATTTGGCTGAAGACGAGGAAATGGACGAGTACGAGGAGCCACCAAAGTACAACAGGTAGAGAGGATACATCAACTCATAGATCAGTGCCCTCTGGTCGATTCTCTTCCCATTGTGTGTTGTGTTGTGCTGTGCAGCCAAAAGAAGCCTTCACCCCCCGCAGCAGCAGCGGCCGCGGCGGTGAGCAGAACCCCACACATGTGGATGGATGGCGGGGACGATGAGTACATGTATGAGGAGCCGCTTAGATACGACGACAAGTACGTCACACAGAGGGAGGGATGGCTGAGGCGTGAGACACACAAGCAAGTATGCATGACTCCCTTGCTATTCTGTGCTGCGCTGTGCTCTGACAGGAGCCCACCCTATGCAGCAGCTGCAGCGGCCGCCCTCCCTCAAACACCACTTCCCAACTGTCCCGCCACTCCCAATGGCATGCCCCTCTGCGGCAGTGGAGGAGACCGATCGATATCGCCGCCCCGTCCGACGGCTATGAAGAGAAAGAGGGACGATCGTAGCGACGAGCAAAGGAAGAAAGCGCGAAAGGAGTGATGGCGACTGACTGACGGGCGGTGGCTGCATGAGTAACTGAGAGACGCGAGTGGCTGGGCGGACTGATTGACAACCGATGGACAGACAGATAGACAGCGAGACGGACAGACAGACAAGGGACAATCCATCCACTCATGCCATCCATTGAAGCCGAGGGTATCGGTCGGCAATTTCCGACCCGGATGGGAAGAACGCACACAGACAGACAGACAGACAGCCATGTGGGTGGGCATATCATTAATCTAAGGCACACATAAAACCACACAAAGACAAACACGCAGCCACGCACTTGTTCGTTCCGAGAGTGCCGAGGCCATCGGTATGTAAGAGCGGCGATGATGATGGAGGATACTGCGGACTGACATTCACTTGCTCCACATATTCCTGATCGAGGCCTTGTTGTTTATTGCCGGTGTTTATTGGCGGCCATGTGACTGATCCTTTCCACGTGGAGCCTGCTGTCCTCTGATGGAAATTCATCAAGTGGTCGACGGGGCACCCCCATGGCCTGGTGCGGCATTACATTGATTTCCTGACTGACGAGAGGCGCCTGGCCTGGGATGCTTCGCCCGTCATCCTGGCGAAGGGAGGGGAGACATACACTGCACTCGATTGATTACGAGAGTGACTGGACAGTCAGGCCGACACAGACAGACAGACAGACAGACAGACAGGTAGGTAGGTAGGTAGGCAGGGAGGCGGGGAGATGGAGGCACGACCCGGGAGATTCCCTGGCCCGGCCCAGGGTGATCGATGATTCTGCGGATGTCATGCGGGTGTCTCTGCCTCTGTGTGTGCAGTTGGTGGCGAGGCGGTCGAGTTAACGATGTGAGCGCGTGTCAGTATGTTGGTCTTCCTCTCCACACTGAGAATTTGTTAACTGGATTGACTCTCAATGTCAGTGTGTCTCACAGGTGCCTTTGCAATGAACTCAACTCATTCCATGGCAGCCAAGTCAGTCACACTCATGGCATTGCAGGATGCAATTAAGGAAACGCTCAGCAAACACCATGACAGACAGACAGACAGACAGACACCACACACCACACACATGATATCATCTGTCTGTCTGTCAGGGTGCATCCACCCACCCATCCATTCATCCATCCATCCGGCCATCCTTCAGTCAGTCACTCGCTCGTGACGCCAGTCAGGACGGGAGGCTGAGATCCTGTCGGCCGCCGCACGTCCCCTCTGCCGCACGAACGAAGGCAATGGACACATCCATTCGCCCCACTCGTGTGTCTTGTTTGTGACGGCATCGACTACAAGGCCTACGTGGGAAGGCTCGTTGGTCTGTGTCTGTGGGGTGTCGGCAGTGGTTGTCGAGTGCGATGGCGCCAAACCTAAAGCGATTGACACGACAACAGACAGACAGACGGAAACAGGCGAGTGAGGTGACAGCGATGCGCAGGTGTCGCTTGGTCTGTCTGTGTGTCTGGATGTACCCTGTGAGTGCGTCATGGCCGCCCAGCAGTGTGCAGACGTATTTGGCGCGGATCGTTGCCCCACGGGCAGCACTCCCTTCCGCTTCACCACGCTGCCTCTCCTGAGGGCACGGAAGGAAAGGCACAGATACATCATCATACCCATGTTGTTTGTGTCTTCCCTATGTTGGCCCCCACTCACTCACCTTGATCTGCTTCGCCACTCGCTGCCTCTCCTGAAAACATCGATGCAGCCAGCCATCGTCTGACAATCCAATGAACATTCATTCATTCACTCTCCAGTGCTGTCATCCGCCATGTACCCCTCCCTCATCACAATACATCACGGTCAAATGGTCAACAGCGCATATATCTCTCCACCTCCTCCCTCCCTCTCCCCCCTCCTCCCTCCCTCCCTCTCTCTCCCCGCCGTCATCCCCCATTTCCCTCGGTGGCTGACAGGCCCGCCACGGCAGACACCTCCCACTGCGGCAGGTCACCTAGATGGGTCCTGAAGAACTTTACCAGCTGAGGCACCGCACGAGCAGACAGCACCGGCAGCGTGTAGGTGATCAGACAGAAGAGCACCTCCCCACTGCGGCCCGTCCCCTTGGCCAGTGCGATGCCCTCACCGTACTCGGGGCCGCCCCGCCGACCATAGACGAGCGGCGGGTGGAAGCGGTGTACTTCGAACCGCTCTCCCTCCAGCACGAAGCCCGACCCAATGGTGGTGTCGCGGTCGTCCAGGGCGGTCAGGTAGGACCGAATCTCCGACTCCTGCACGGCGGCTGCACTGCTGGTCCGGGCGATGATGTGGCCTTTGCCGTCGAACACTATGGCGCGGGCCCACTCCTTCTGACTCTCCAACAGGCTCTGAAGCGACGGGGCAGTCGTGCTCGACGGCGCACTCATCACTGAGCTTCACGTGACCTGTGAGTCACCAGATCTTCACCATCCATCGCGGAGCTCTGCCTCGTCGTTTCAGCATCATTGTGGACGCCATCTCCGCCAGCATCTCCCATCTCTCCGGTCCCTTTCTCCCCTCCTTGTTCTTCCGCCGAAGCCTACACCCCAAACCCTGGACGCTGGACGCCAGCGACGCTGTGGCAACTGTGTTCTTGTGGCTCATGCTGAGGCTTCCCGACCCTTTAGATCCATGCATCTCGCCCCGCCGCCCTCGCAAAGGCACACTCAACCACCGCCGACAATCTGCCGCCTGCAGCAGCTGAAGAGGCACCCAGGAGGACGGCGCATCCCAGTACTCATGGCGGTGCTCAGCGTGATGGCGATGGTCGATGCTTCTGGGAGATCTCGTCCGCATGGCGCATTCTCAGCCCCTTCCAGCGGCCCTCCTGGCTGCAGGTCAGGCAGCCAACCGACGGCACTCTCAGCCACAGCAGGGCGGCGCTCACCGCCCACAGCGAGATCCATTGGCGGAAGGGGAGCTTAGAGGGGCCGACGGCAGCCCTTTGGCAGACCACGTCGGGACAGCACCTTCGATACGACTGCGATGCGTGAGTTCTTTGTCCCTTGTGCGGCTGGCTTGGAGACCATTGTGGAGATGGAGATGAGGAGAATCACTGAGCGGCTCCCTGGGGGCCACGATGCTCTCGATGGCGGCTCTGTGGTGACGAAGCAGTCCAAGAGAGGGGTCACTCTGTGGGTCAGCAAGGACATCCCCACCGCTGTGCAGCTGCCCTACTGGCTTACCGTCTGTCTGCGGACCGGCCAGCGTGTCCTCGAGCGCATCGACGGGCCGATGGAGCTGAGGAGAAGAGATGATCTGTGGAGCTGGGTCAACTCCATCGACTGGCGGCCTTACATGAGTGTCCAGGACACCCTCTCTGTGCAGGTGACTCTCGGCACTGACGTCCCATCAGACCTCAGGCACACCCACTTCACCGCCCTCACCGTCAAGGACGCCATCGTCAAGCAGTTCCTCAGCCGCGACAAGAGCGCCAGGCCGTCGGTGGACTTCGTCGACCCCGACCTGCCTCTGTTTCTGTACCTGCACCAGGGGAGGGGCACGCTCTATCGGGCCTGGTCGGGTACACGGAGTTTGCACAAGAGGGGCTACCGCAAGAAAATGCCCAAGGCGGCGCTGCGGGAGACTATGGCTGCTGGTGAGGGGAGCGGAGGGAAGGAAGCAAGCATCGATCAGCTGACCCCTGTGTGTTTGTGTGGGTGGTCAGGAATGTAGTATGTATCCCAGTGGGACCCGCAGTCGCGCCAGGTGATCCTCGACCCCATGTGCGGCTCCGGCACGATCCCCATCGAGGCGGCCCTTATGGCCACCCGCCGAATGCCCGGCGTCGTCCGCCTCGAGACCTTCCTCGCAGACATGAACGTCGATCCCTATCGGACCAAAGGGACTCGTGTCGCCCCAGACGCCGAGGGCCGGGCCGTCAGCCTCCTCACCCACCTTCATAGGACTTACGACGCGCCACCGAGGCCCCCTCTTGGCGAAGACTATCGGCACGACCATTATGGCGACGATCTGGATGGTTGTTTGGATGATTCGGATGGCGAGGGAGTCATCAATGGCATGATGTCGCCTGTGGTGCGGCCTTTTCCCTTCTGCCGCTGGCCTGATTTCGACGAGCTTGTGTGACGGTCGGTGTTGCGGAAATCTGTTGAGGGCGAGAGGGACATAGCAGCAGCAGAAGGGGCCGAGGCGCCTGTCGTTATCTACGGCAGCGACCGGCACGAGGGCGCCATTGCGATGGCCCCGCAGCGAGACGGGCTGGTGTGAGTGACCACATCCACTTTTCCCACAACGACATTGCCCATCTGCAGTTGCCGCACCGCGACAAGCCCGACGTGATTGTGAGCAATCCGCCGTGGGACATTCGGCTGAGCAGTGACGGCAGGGAGTCGTGGGAGGCGATGAGGGCGTTTGTGTGCGAGAGGGCGGGAGGGGGCCGCGCCTGGCTGCTGTGCGGGGGCGATGCACGAGACGAGCTGTTCGGTGCGATGCGCATGCGGGCGGCCAAGAAGCGGAGGATTGTGCAGGGCGGCGTTGAGATGAGCTTGAGGGCATTCGACATATGGGACGTACACAGAGACAGATAGACAGACGCACAGACGGACAGATGGAAAGACAGAGACCAAGGAGAGGGGGGGACTGTGCACGGTACGTACGTATTGCAGGCTGCGTCGGTAGTATTTGTCATGCCTGCCTGCACCACAGACACGCACCGCCCACCATGTGTGTGTGTCTATCATGCATGTGCGTGTGCCCCTCTCTCCTTGTGTGTATATGTGGGTTCTTGGCCATCTTGCCAGACATGAATATTGACTTGATTGATCTCATTCGATTAGTTCTGTCTTCCTGCCAACTCACACACATGGGTTCGTTCGTCCTTTCCCAGTCCTTTCCACTCGGTTGCACGATTTGTGACCTCACTGCACAGAGCATCATGCTGCTCGATACCCTCTGTGCCGCACACGCAGTTTTCACACACGCCATGCCACGCCATGCACTCAGGGCGTGGCGTGGTGTCACAGGTCGGCACACATGAATGACGCCTGACACCAGCAGCATTCCCCCGCATTCACCGAGTTCTCAAACCCCACGCGTCCTTACTGTTCAGATGAGCACGGCAGCCGCCTCAAAACACACTTGCAATGGGAGAAAACCTCTCGACTCACCGATCGCAACGAATGCGAGCTTAGAAGCGCAAAAGGAGGAGAGCGAGCAGATATCTGCAGCAGAGAGGCTCACAAGTGCACTCCCTCATCGCACCACATCGAGCGCATCTATAGTTGCTGAGTAATGAGGTGCTTATGGAGACTCTTGGGTTTTTCGAGTCCGTTGTGGGTTCAAGAGGTCGATGAAGACGGCAAACCGCACGGTCCGCACCACGAGCATGACGTAGCTCGAGGAATCCCACGTCCCGTCAGAGATATCGTTGATCTGTTGGAGGCGATTCGAGTGGAGTGGCAGCTGCCTAGCCACCATGTGATTGTGCTGCTGAACAAGGGCGGCACGGATTTTCTCCCCCCACAGACAGCCACAGTCGCCGCCACTTTCAACACGCTCGGACAGCACGAACACACACCAATACGATGGCGCAGAAGTGAGCGTTTCTTCGAGAAGAAAACCACTCGCTCTGAGTCTGAGGGCCTGTATCTGTGGGGGTGTGGGCGGTGCGTGAATTTGTGTGTGAATTTGTGTGTGCACTTCTCAGGTATCGTAAAGCGTCCTGCAGACACCGACGATGACGACGAACGCAAGACTGTGCCAGTATCTCAGCTTAATGCCATCGGTGACATCCCGTTTATTCCGGAATACAAGCGCATCACCCCCTCGTCACACCCGTTCAACGCCACTTCCTGTCCTCCCTACACCGGCTCTCGGGTGCAACAAGAGCCGGTGACCGCCCACCTGCTGAGTAAGGTGTTGCCGAAGGTCGTGGAGGAGGCCAACAAAGTGAGGAATGACAAGCTGACGGTCGCCTCGGCACACAACAAGGTTGGCACCAGCGCGGTTCGGGTCCCGACAACCAGATACGGCAGGGTGTTTTTAAGAGGGACTCCTGGGGATCTTTGCATTCTGCCTGATGGCGCGGAAACCGCAGGCCCCCCGTTCTTCTGTCGGAGTGGCGCTATTATCGTCCAGGCAAAACGTGCGGACTGTTTAGATCTGTCAGCGCATGCCAGACAGCTGCGGGGTGAGATGCTCCTTGTGCGGAGCTGGAAGACTCCTCCGGAGGAGTTCAGCTACGATGACGCTGTCGGTGTCCTATGCAATGGGAAGAGGGCGATGATAATGCAATTCGCAGAAGGCGGAACGAAGACAGTTCAGAAGTCGTGTCGGTTTTTGGCGAGCCAGGACATGGATATTCATGAAATGGCCAACTTTTTGGTCGAGTATTTAGGTGAGTGGCAGTTCAAGAGGAAGGTAGATGTAGATGAGGAGCTGATGCGGATACAAACAGATAGGGACCAGAACATAGATGAGGAGGAGCATCATCGGGCTATCGGTGCACACTTGGAGGCCTTGATGAGTGGGGATTAGTTGAGTGAGTCTATGTTGTCGCGAGGATTGGGGGGTGTGCTATGTTGATGCCTGTAGGTGACGCAATACTCTGTTGGCTTGGCAGTGAGGCGGATTAGTCCAGATGACAAGAGGAGTGGGAGATCGATCATAGCGCATCTATCGGGAGGGCTTGACGTAGCTGGCTGACTGGCTGACTGGCCGTCTGGCTGGCTGCTGATGTGATGTGGGGATATCTGTCGATGAGTGAGTTGCGACACATAGCGTGACGGCGTGATGTGTTGCTTGGTGCGCACGGCGTGGCCCTTGCTGGCGTGGCTTAAAGCACCAATGCTGATGGATGGATAGATGGATGGTGTGTGGCCATGGTTGATGTACAGACAAATCGCTTGTGAAGGAATGACACACATAAACGACTGAGATGCTGGGATCATCTGAACGCAAGAGAGCATCTGTGGGGAAGACTCTGCTGGCCCATTTTTCGCGATGTGTGTTGTGCTGTACATGTGTTGGGCGATGTGTGTATCTGAGTGGCGGGGGCCACACAACCATCCAAAATTGCACAAACGATTGCACGTACCGAGCCGGCACACGCATGCGCCCTCCCCGCCTTTTTCCTTTTTCCTTCCCAATATCCTATCCTTCCTCCAGCTCCGTTTACGGCCAGGAATCGGCTGGCTGCAAGAAACGAACGGATCACCTTACCATTCTGCATGCAGTGACGCGGCGCCAGTCGAGTCACACGAGTGTGCGCTTGTCAGTCAAGCAATGAGTCAATCAATGATGGATCATTGTCATTCGTTCGTTCATTCATTCATTCATTCAGTGAATCACTGCATCACTGCAGACAACCTTCCTGTGTTGCTTCGCTTGGGAGACGGCCGTGATCCTGGCCAGGCTGGCCACGAGATGAGGGTGTGTAGTGGGTCATTACACCTATGTATGGTCCGTCCAGCCGACCTTTGAGTGAGGCAATTAGTGGCCCGCCGCAATGGGTGTATGTACATATGTATGTATGGGTGTATGCACCATGTATGTATCCGGCTGCCGTCACAAGAACCACCCCTGCAGGGCCGGCCTTGTGTGCAAGCCAAAAGTAGCCGATCTGCTATCTCCTGACCACTACGTCTGCGTTACCCCGTCCGTCAAGCCTGACGATGAATGGATGCATCCATGGATGGACGTGACGAGCACAGCCGTAGAGGGAAGCGAAGCACTCAATCAGTGACGTCCATTCATCGATATTCGTTCCCTGAGTAAAGGTGTCAGCAGGTCTCTCTCCGACGAGCCAGCTGCATTCAATGCATGGGATCGGTGTGCACACGGTGGAGGACTCAGATGTGCTGTCTGTGCGCGAGAACTGGAGAGGCTGTCGCACCAAGCAGGCCACGCGAATCGATGTGTGACATGAAAGCGTGACGATAAGTGAGTTTCTCATCATGATATATATGGTCTCCAGGCTTGGTGTGGTTTTGAAGTTTTGCAGTGCATTGCCATATGTCGGTGTGAGTGTGTGGCAAACGTATGCGATTGATTATCTATTCACTATTCACAAAGCCACGTGCACGCAGCCATTGTACAGACATGCACACACCTACGACACACACACACACAGGCACACACACAGACATGCAGATGCACACATACTGATAAACATCTGACTCATCCGTCCGGCCATGCCAAACCAACCAACGCAACCAGCATTATCAGCGGATGCCTACTCATACACAGCCGCATAGTATGTCCTTGACTTCACATAACATCACATGCATCGCCAACCCATCGCCCTTCCGCCCACACCACTCACTACTCATGGATGCAGTCGATCGATCACTCCCCAGACAGAATCCTCCCTCGTCTGATGACGTCGCTCTCGAGGTCGAATCGCCTCAGCAGGCTGCGCCACAAGGGCACTGAGATGGGGTACCGCACATCCAGAGAGGCGAAGGAGGCAACGGGTGCATCACTGGCAGGTGGCTCGGTGGTGTAGAAAAAGAACGGACTCACGCCCAACAGCCACACATAGGCCACCACGGTGTCGCCAGGTCGGAAACCGCTTACGATCACACGACGCCAGTCCCCACAGTCGGCCACAATCCCCTCCGACTCCGGGATGTCATCAGCTGTCAGCAGAGATTCACACCGATCGTCAAATAAAGCGATGAAAGCAGACACCACCGGTTTCATCCCCAGCCCATGTCTGGCCACGAGAGACAGCAGATTCGCTGTGAAGGAGCGATAGAAGGAGCCGTTTCCGACGACTGGATCGCGTTCATTGTACCCCTCAGCATAAGGATGGCCGTCTGGCAAATCCCCATATGGCACCACACGAAACGGCCTGCTAGTGCCGATCCGATAGCCCCTCTCTGCTGCTGGCTGACGGCCGCCCAGCGACGGCCACACTCCACATGTCCAATTCGTCAGCAGAGATCG